TCGTATGGGGATCGGCCCTGGGGTTGGTTGTCTGATGCACGCCAGCTGTCCTGCAAAGGAACGAACCACGTCCTTTATCTTCACCAGCTGATTTCAAGAAGAGAAAGGAGAGCAAGGAGGAGGGGGAGAAGGGTAGCGGTGCGATGCGGCCATGGCATGGCGATGGGGTCGCGGCCTTTTTGACACACGGGTGCTAATTGCAATATCCGACAGCAGCACCTATTATTATTATTATGCCCTTCCGACGTCGACGTGGTTCGCGAAGCCTGACGAGGAAAACAAAACAAACCGCCGCCGTGAGTAACGCCCGATCTAAGGCCACACCAAGGAGCTCCCTGGGCCGTGAACGAGTACAAGGTCTGGATGACCCGGCCAAGGACGACCGCTCGACGGCGCCACTCGAGGAAAACGACTAGAAGGTCAAGGACGGCCTGGGCTGAGATGCGGCCTTGGGGTAAACCTGTGAAGCTACTACCATATCACACGGATGGTGCCGCACTAATTAGTGACCGATGTACTCCGTAGGGCAGGGAAGACTGAAACTACTCTATAGCCTAGCACGCGAGATATGGGATTGGGGGTATCGTGCACAGTAGTGTACCCAAAGTAATGGGAAGATATAGGTGAGGTACGCATACTTGAACCTTGGGATACCATGACTAACCGGCAGATGGAGCCGATCGCGGAGCATCATGCTTGTTGATTAGTACGGTTAAAGTGAACGTGGAAAAAGAAACGCTCCCCCAAATTACAGTCTTGGAGATGGGAGAAAACAACGGGCGGGCTCCCGCTCAACTTCTCAAGAACGTGTTTAGAGCACGTCCTTTACATCTAAAGTAGCGCGCCTCCATGGCCTTGGAAGTTACGAGACACGGACGTTTGAACGGAGCCCCAAGACATGATGGAACACAGAGAAGCAAATGTGTCCGTAGGCATTAGAACAACGTCCATGTGTTGAACCACTCGATTCTCTAAGCCTTGGGGCGCCCATTCTCGAGCTGATTAGCTCCCGCTCTCCGCGCCATGTCTGTGAGAGAAACTGAGAGGACAGATACGTGCGGTCAACGGCGTTGAATCCAGTCAAATTCCCCATCATTATTCTTCCCTCACCCATGCTTGTTCGATTCTACATTCCCTTGTTCCCTGTCAATCCACCCAGCATCTTGGGTCTTTGATGACGAGTTGCAGAGAATCAGCAACAACTCACTGAGAACAGAGACGTTGGCACGTTGCGGATACATCATCCCATGTATCCGTATGTACGGAGTATGGATAGTGTGTTTAAACCGTTTAGGTGGGTTCGCCTCGGTGAAGCAGGGTTGCCCGGAGGCAAGGAGCCTAGACATTAATAACTCACCATGAGCCCAGAGAGAAGGTACCTAGTTCAAGGTGAACTGAGACATGCCTAGCTCATCAACAACACGAAGCTCAAGATCTTCTCGCCATAAGCATCCGTGCCCACTGCCCTCGCTGTTCCAAGACTGTCAGTCCCTTCCAACCACCAAGACTTTTGTTTGGACACTGGCCTCTGCTGCTGCAGTGACGGGCGGCCAGCCGGTGGCCTGAGTCCACGCCGTCGCAAGTGTACGGATATAGCCCGCATCGGCGAGTCGCCGTGCCCTGTCATCCGGTGCGCCGTGCTGCACTGACTTCGGTTGGCAAGATGAAGAACCCACCGGGCACTCTCTGTCCAGACTCCAGAAAGTCCAGCGCCGGCATCAGCGGAGGTTGGCATTTACAAGTCACCAGTATCGTCAGTGGTCAGAAACGGGACACAATGACCGTCATCTCAAGACCACGGCTTAGCTCTGGCGGTAAGATGCAGGGTGCAACCTGGAGTGGAACAGACCAGCCCGCTAAACCACATCTAAAGTCGTGTGTTCTGTTGTTACATCGTTGTTTTCCATTCCCTCACTTCTTTTGGGGGCTTCCTAGTGGGCGGGCTTCTAGAAAAACTCAACTAGCTTTCCCAGCAGCAGCAGCAGCAGCAGCAGCAGCATGAGCGTTTGAGATGCGCGGGGAACCCAAAGAAATGGCGTGGGCGGCTTCGAGGCGCTTATCGCCATCTGCTGCCTCAGTGTGGTTGGTTGTCGTTTCTAGGCCATAGCCGCTGCGGCAAGTCCAGACTCCAAACATTTCAGTGAAACTTGAAGAAAGGATATCCGTACCTTGGCCGAGGCCGCGCCTTAGGTTGCACCTTGGGGGAACCAGGTGCCAGCTGACGCAGGTGGATCTCATCCCACAGTTTCCATCATCCCATGCTCGTCGAATATTTGATGAGGTGCGGAGCTCTTTTTTCGAAAACCAGCACAACTTGCACTATTACGATGCCGCGGACATAGAATTACAGAGAGCTCGCGGGGATAAAATTTTGCTACTTTGTTGACTATCTTACCGAAAGCGGAAGTGTTGTAAACAATTCCGGGATACAGGGCACAGTCCCAATTTGAATCACTAATAAGGACCTGACGAGTCCCCCGTCCTGATCCAAAAATCGCAAAAGGTTCGTGCGCTACACGAGGGACCAGCAAGCTCTTCGTGCCTCTCACTCACAAGTTACACCGACTGGCTCGGAACGGTGGACGGCGATGGCGGTCGTCGTTGACAGTGCTCGGTGACCCGTTGCTGTGAAGACGGGGGAAAGCTTCAAACACTCGCCCGCTTCACGATTACCCCGGCTGTATCTGAGCTCAGCCCTTGTGTGAGAATTGCAGTGCACGAAGTAGTACTTCGTACAGAGTCTGGATAATATTGATAATTATGTCGGCGTTGTTATTGCTGAATCGTGTGCCTGCAGGAGTGGATGCACATGGCAAGGAAACAAAAGTTGGACCCTCTCGCATGGACGGAGACGAGAGTCGGGGAGGCTTGTCTTGCCTTACCTAGCACCGTCTCCATTGATGATTGCAGAAATAAAGATGTCATGAGGTGAGGCGGACACAGTGGGAATGCAGCGGTTACGCCGTTCAGACTCCAGAGCACCCCATACTGATAAATGCACAAGTATGCAGGATGCCAGAACGGATGCGACCGCGATGCATGCTGGACGGCTGGAGTCGGGCTTCCTTTCTCATTGGCAACATGTTTCTCTGTGAGAACTTCCAATTGACTCTTTTGATTGGTCATTCATCTCTGAGTACCGTTGGTTCTCGGCTGCCAATTGTGCGTCGTCATCCGGTCACAATCCCCTTTGTCCATGGATAATGCCACGACACCGACGGGGCGCGTCCATCTCGCGGACACTTCGCGTTTGCACTGTTCAGCATATTGTCGGTGTCCTTTTCAGGCTTTCCCTCCTGCATGCAGTAGTGTCCCCAGAGGCGTCGTAGACTCGTAGTACCAGTGCGCTACTGCACAATAGCCTGCAGGCACAAATTGAATGATGGACACTGCGGTCTGCAGGTGTCTGACAGCTCAGCATCCAATTTCCCAATCCGAAAGCACGACGCAGGGGCATTGCCATTCTCGAAAGTTGAAGGCGAGTTCCAATATCCATATCTTGCTCCTCCACTGTTTTGCTGTGCTTCGCCCGGGCGTGGACTTTGTGGGGCCAAGGAAAGCGAGAAAGGTTCCATTTCCTTTTGGTGACACAGTGACAGTTGGACACAGCTGCGAGTATCCGTAAGGCAGGGCAGGCACCTTCTGCTCCACTGGAAAGTCCGAACGATTATGTAATTTCCTCACTTCACCTCTCCCGGAACGTGATACCTTTGTGAATGGAAGAGACAATTAAGGGGAGAATCATAGCCGTTTCGTCACGCAACCGAGGGATTGGCAGTGGAGTGTAGAGTTGAACCTCTGTTACCACAGATATCTTGTGCACGCAGTTGCGCCGGCGGTACTCATCATGACTTCGTCCAATAACCCAGACTTGGGGTCTGCCAAAGGTCTTCCCGGAACTGCTCCAGTCCTACAGCCGTTGACGGCATGCGCGATGCTGGTATGGCGAGGGATTCCTTACTCTTCTTCACTCCTGTCGAGGTAAATGTCCAGCCACTAACTCGTCTGTTCAGGTCGTATATACGGCAATTTACGTGGCGCCTCTCTACATCTCGCCTGCCAGCCGCCCATCACCAACACTCTCGAGGGACGACCCTGTCGCCATCCGCACGCGCATCAGATCTGTTCTATTCTCTACCGCATCATGCTCCGCCCTGACGTACCTCATCCTGGCCCGTCTACCTGACGGTGCTCTGCCTTATGGACCACTGCATGCAATGGGATACTGGCCCATTGGCGTACTCGAGTCTGCATCATGCCTTCTCCTTACGGCGATCCTGTTCGCGGCTCCGCTCTACGAGACTCTTCTCATAGACGGCGTTTGGGAAGACTGGCGCGGTCTTGGTCCCATCACCCGCGTTTGGACACAGTTGACATCCTGGCGGAACATTGTCATGGTAAGTTGCTTCAAGGAAGCCTCAGACGTATCTTTTGCTCCGTTTCCAGAGATGCTAATGTGAGATGAAGGGACCTTTGACCGAGGAGATGCTGTTCCGTTCTGCCTCTGTGCCGCTGATGCTCTGCGCTCGCATGTCATTGACACAGACCGTCTTCCTGTCTCCGGTCATATTCGGCTTTGCACACGTCCATCACTTTTATGAATTCCGCATCTCTCACCCCAAGGTGCCACTGGTCGCTGCCGTGGCACGCTCAGTCCTGCAGTTCAGCTACACGTCTCTCTTCGGCGCCTATGCCACATTCCTTTTCCTCCGATCAGGAAGCCTACTAGCCATCGTGCTGGTGCATGCATTTTGCAATGCAATGGGCCTGCCCCGTTTCCGGGGCGCTGTCGAGCCTTACTGGCACGTCAGTGGACACCACACGCCAGCTGATGGTCGGAAGTGGACGGTGATTTACTATGTACTTTTATTCACCGGGGCCATTACTTGGTGGAAAAGCCTGTTCCCCATGACCCAGACTTCGGCCAGCCTGTTTCCGCAGGGATTCTGAGGTGCATTTTGGTTGTAAATACACTAGATACTGTCCTAGCAATGAACACGTCACGTCTTCATGTCGATATCTAGCCCCGGCATTGCGCCGGGTATCGTCAACCCGTCGTCACTACGCATCCTGCGTCGAAGTAGCGAATCGTGCTCCCAACCTGTGTGTGTCCTTGCCTCGGCTTCGACCTCTCTTCGAGCTTCTGCGCGGAGGTTCGGATTGGTGTCTTTCCCCTTCGCCCTGCTCACTGACGCGTTGATCTCGGCGGCCAGCCCATCTTCAGGGCCCCTCGTGTTCTTTTTGCGCGGCCACATACTCGGCAGGGCGATCTCCTGAAATCGTGGCTCCACGCATCGCTCGTCGAACCAACGGTGTAAACGGGACTCAATCAATTGGGCGATTTTGGGCACATCTTGAAGCCTTGAACGGCTTCCGAGAAGACTTCGAATTGACAGGTCGAGGCGGTAATCATCCATGAAGCTGAAAGTCATCATGGTCGGTGTAGATTGTGAGGGGTTGCTCGGGATGAAGGAAATCGACAAAGTGCCACTGAACCTTACGACGGAGACTGAGAGTGCTACGGGCAGCACGGCACTGAGGTTCTTGGGGTAGTTGAGGAGAAGCTTTGTCTCGAGGGCGAGAGTGAGCATGTCGCTGAGGTCAACATCCATCCGAGCCTGCAGCTTCGCGCCATCTCTCGTTGCGGCGCTCGCGTTGAGAGTTCTGCCGCTGCCCAGATTCAGCCCGTCCTCATCAACAGGTATGACCCGACAGTTGCTGAAAATCGGGAAGTCCTCTCCTAGGCTCAGCTCCGTCACGCGGATCTCGTCTACAAAGTCGGGCCTCGATCCTCCGTTCAGTGCCTTGGTGAGGGAGCTCAGAATGGCATCGTCATGCTGCGCGTCGCTTCGAAACTGGGCGATTGTTTGGGCCACGAGGACGTTGAACCAGTCCAAACTCTCTGGCTGGTGACTGTCTACGTTGTAGTAGGTTTTGCTGAGGATGGAACCGATGGTCAGATTCGGAGGGTTCCGGAGGACGCTCGACTTCTTCCGATTGAGCGTCTGCTGGCCATGCTTTGCGTTTGCTGTCCGAAGACTGAGGAGAGAGCGCTTATGAGCCAAGGTCCTTGATCGACGTTCTGTTGCTCTCAGTGATGCTGTCACCTCTGGCGAGGGAGGGTCGCCGAAGATGAAGAATTTGATGAAGGCGGCTAGAACGAGAACAACTGATAGTTGGCCGAGAATGAGTCCCTGCGTGAATGAGAGGCTATGTGACCAGTTAGCATGTAATTATTTGAAGAGCAGCAGGTGTAAGGATAAAGAACTGACGTTGGCTCTGCCTTTGCTGGGCAAGTATCAGCGGCAAGGCCTGGCATCGTGATGGTGGCCGACGATGTATCGGTCGATGCTTAGAAGACGGTACTCCTCTGATATGTGCTCATCGGGGACGAAGTACAAGATTGTAAGTGAGGACTTGGTCGTTGTGCAGTAAGAAAACCTGTGAGATGCCGCATGAATGCTATAGTGAAGTGCCTTCCGGTCTCGTTTGACTAACAGTTTTGACACTGTGGAGTGTGGCCTGAACGTCACTGCTTGTAGGATCCACAGCTGACCCGAATAGGCTAGCCACTGTGTCAGGCGTTCTGGGCACACTCATACCGCGGGAGTTTCCACTGTTGTGTTAAAGTATATAATACCATTCAACGTTTACGCAACATCACCACATTCATGTCATAGAGATATATAAAGAGTGAGAATGGTCAAGATCCAATTCTTCTCCTAGTTAGGCACTGTGGTTTCAGCACTTAGAAATCCGGTGGCGTGTCCAGCTGTTGCGTTTAGCCTCCAGAAGGCTGGTAGGGATGTGGAGGTACCTGAGGTCGAAGGTACTTTACCAAGGATGTGGTACCTAAGGTACGCATGCACGCAGGCCAGGGAGCTCAGGCAAGCTGCCCCAGTCAACTCCGCCATCTGCGAACGACATTGATTCCGCTCATCCAGCGATTCATCTTAATTCATCAACGACACAACACAGCCGAATGCCATCCACGCCGAGAGAATCAACATCTCCCATACAGCACTGATTGCTGTTCCCATCTCATCGCCACCACCAGCTGAAGACCTGCCCACTAGGCGTCTCCCATCCTTGGCTCTATCGAACACGCTTCACCACGTATTCGACCTTTGCGCTCTGCGCCGCTGGTCAATATGGACGTGGCACAAGCAGTGGCCGGCTATGTCTCTCGAATGATTCAGTCCGCTGATTCCTCATCGACGACACAGTCGGCAAAGATGAAGGTTCTGCTGCTGGACCGCGAGACAGTTCCTATTGTGTCCACTGCCATCACACAGTCAGCACTACTGAACCATGAGGTCTATCTCATTGATCGTATAGACAATGCCAACAGAGAGAAGATGCGCCACCTGCGATGTTTATGTCTCGTACGACCCTCGCCAGACTCCATCCAGCTCCTGATTGATGAGTTACGGGAGCCAAAATACGGAGAGTATCATCTGTACTTCACCAACGTTGTCAAGAAGTCATCACTAGAAAGACTTGCCGAGGCTGACGACCACGAGGTCGTCAAGTTGGTCCAGGAGCAGTTTGCCGACTTCATTGTCATCAACCCCGATCTGTTCTCACTTGGACTCAGCCTTCCCCATCAGCGTCTGTGGGGCAGCAATCCAGACACGTGGAACCCAGACGCCCTGCAAAGAAGTGCCGACGGACTTATTGCTGTGCTTCTTGCACTCAAAAAGAAACCGCTTATCAGATATTCCAAGACCAGCCCACTCACCAAGAAACTGGCTACGGAAGTGCGATATCGAATTACACAGGAGGAGCAGCTTTTCGACTTTCGGAAGGTGGACACGCCCCCTCTCCTCCTCGTACTCGACCGGCGCGAGGATCCAGCAACACCTCTCCTCACCCAATGGACATATCAAGCCATGGTGCATCATCTTCTCGGTATCACCAACGGTCGAGTTGACCTGAGCGATGTGCCTGACATTCGCCCGGAGCTAAAAGAGATTGTCTTGTCGCAAGACCAGGATCCTTTCTTTAAGAAGAACATGTATCTCAACTTCGGTGACTTGGGCGGGAACATTAAAGACTACGTGGAGCAATACCAATCCAAGACACAAAACAGCTCAAATATCGAGTCGATATCGGACATGAAGCGCTTTATTGAGGAATACCCCGAGTTCCGCAAGCTATCTGGAAATGTTAGCAAGCACGTCACCTTAGTCTCGGAGTTGAGTAGACGTGTTGGCGCCGAGAATCTGCTCGAAGTCAGTGAGCTTGAACAAAGTCTCGCTTGCAACGACAATCATGCGGCTGATCTCAAGGTACGTATCTGATGACAATAGCACGACTTTCCAGCAGAGATACCAGAAGCTGACTCTTCCCATAGAACATACAAAAGCTCATTCAGTCTCCAAAGGTGACAAGCGACAGCAAGGTTGGTCTAGTCGCCCTCTATGCGCTACGGTATGAGCGCAACCCGTCCAACGCACTCCCCATGCTCGTGGACCTCTTGGTGGCCGCTGGCGGGGTGTCGGTCCGACGAGCAGATCTCATCTCCAAGCTAGTGAAATATCAATCTTCATTACAGCAATCGCAGGGCCAAGCAGGCATTGCAGACATTTTCGAGGGGGGTGGCATCTTTGGAGGAGCCGGTGCCCGGTTCAAGGGGCTGAAGGGCGTTGAGAACGTTTACACACAGCACAGTCCTTTGCTTGAAAGCACGCTTCAGAATCTGATCCGGGGGCGACTGAAAGAACAGCAGTATCCTTTTGTCGAGGGCGGAGGAACTACTCGAGACAAGCCGCAAGACGTTATTGTCTTCATAGTAGGCGGAGCAACGTACGAGGAGGCTAAAATGGTGGCAACAATCAACGCATCTTCGCCAGGTGTGCGCTTGGTGCTAGGAGGTACCACAGTCCACAACTCGGCTACGTTCCTTGAAGAGGTTGAGGATGCTGTATCTTCATGGCCCGAGACGCAAAAATCTAGCACGAGGCGATAGGTGGACAGCAATCCGGTCTTGGCCTTGCTGATGGTTTGGGAGAGTCAAGATCTCGACGACCACGGATGATTGTCACGCCTGTTCGTGTATCTAGGCCATTCCATGAGCAATACATACGCAAGGCTATCGGGCGTCGATTTGTTGTGCACCAAGATGTTTTTCAACTAAGCTAATTCCACACAGAATTACTACTTGTACTTTATAAGCAACTTACAAAAGTGCGGGAGTGGTGATCATAGGCCCTTTGTGACATGCTCGAATTGCATGGACAAGACAACGACAAAGGGGGAGAAGAGGAAGAGTGATAGCCATCTGGTGATCATCGCCTTACATAACTTATTGATGGAAGTATTGGCAGTGACCATCAAACTTGGGGTTCTCCAGCAGGTGCAAGTATTTATGCTTCTTGAGACTAGACAAGAGAATTGGCAATGTTATCGTGGACTAGTATTGCTATGTATAGTCGATGCGACATGCCAGATTACTCCTAATCGATGCAATTACTCCAAAGATGCCCGTGACGAGGATAGGATGTTGACGACTTGAGAAGCTGCACCCAAAATACCCCGGGCGCAGTCGGCGCTTGTAATCGCCGTGCACCGATCATGTCACTGCACTGTGGCACCAAGGGGCCAAAAAAATCATTGGGGAGGAAAGGCGCGCAGGTAATCTGGATACAAACCAGGAGACCCTCAGCCTTCAAAGTCGGTTTCTACCACTCAGGACACGAGCCTGCCGGCCGCGTTTTCTTCTGTTGGAGCGCGTGTAGTCTTTTAAGTCTGTACACATAAGCGATGCGCTCCCTTTCAGCAGCCTTGAAGCTGCGCCCGCGTCTTGCTGCCAGAGGCCTGCGACAGCTCGGCAGGCGCGGATTCGCAGACGTTGCAGAAGGCACCAGGTAAGTTCGTGTGATATACCGGAAACATACACCCCTAGCACGCTGGTAGCACACAGCTAACTCGATGCTCAAGACCATTCGATGTCGTCGTAGTAGGAGGCGGCCACGCGGGCGCAGAAGCATGCGCAGCGGCTGCCAGAACCGGCGCGCGGACAGCTCTGGTAACACCAAAGATCGAGAACCTCGGCACCTGTTCCTGCAACCCATCTTTCGGCGGCATCGGCAAAGGAATCATACTTCGCGAAATCGACGCTCTCGACGGGCTGGCAGGTAGGGTCATCGATAAGGCCGGCGTGCAGTTCAGGGTCCTGAACCGGACCAAGGGGCCGGCTGTTTGGGTATGAAAACTAGAGAAATCCTTCTTGAAGACAATCTTCGTGGTTGCTAACTCCATATTTGTACAGGGACCTCGAGCGCAGATTGATCGAAAACTATACCAAAAGCACATGAGAGAAGAGCTGGAAACGTACCCAAACCTGTCCATCGTACTAGGCAGTGTATCCGATATCGTCACGAGCGCGAGCGCGGAAACCACGAGTTCCGCCCAGAGCAAGATCACAGGCGTGCGTCTCGAGTCTGGCGAGGTCCTCGCTACACGCGCAGTCATTATCACCACGGGCACATTCCTCAGCGCCGAGATCCATATCGGCATGAATTCGTACCCAGCAGGACGGATAGGAGAAGATGCCTCCTTCGGATTAAGCAAGTCGTTGAATGACAGCGGTTTTCGCCTAGGACGGCTCAAGACAGGAACGCCGCCGCGTATCGCCAAAGACAGCATCGACTTCTCGCAGCTCGAGAGGCAGCCCGGAGACGACCCGCCGATGCCGTTCAGCTTCCTGAACGATAGAGTCACCGTCGAGGAGCAGATGTCCTGCTGGGTCACTTATACGAATGAGGCGACACATGACATCGTAAGGGCTAACCTGGATAAGACGATACACATCCGAGAAACCATCAGGGGCCCAAGATATTGCCCCTCATTAGAGGCTAAAATCACTCGGTTCTCTGACAAGGACAAGCATCTTGTCTGGCTGGAGCCCGAAGGGTTCGACAGCGACCTCATATACCCCAATGGCTTGTCCATGACGGTACCGGAAGAGGCCCAGGAACAGATTCTGCGCTCGATCCCGGGCCTGGAGAAATGTGTCATGACACAGGTCGGCTACGGCGTCGAGTACGACTACATAGACCCTCGGAGCCTCAAGGCGACGCTCGAAACGAAGCAGATCAGCGGTCTGTTCCTCGCTGGACAGATCAATGGCACTACGGGCTATGAAGAGGCAGCCGGGCAGGGTGTTGTTGCCGGAATGAACGCCGGTCGCTCCGCTCTGGGTCTCGAAGCGGCCCCTATATCCCGAGCAGACGGCTACATCGGCATCATGATTGACGACCTCATCACCAAGGGCGTCACTGAGCCATATAGGATGTTCACAACACGAAGCGAATACAGACTGACGTCGAGAGCGGATAACGCCGACCTCCGGCTGACGGAGAAGGGACGGAATTGGGGCGTGGTGTCTGACAACCGGTGGACACACTTCAGCGACGAGAAGCAGCAGATGGACGACATCATGTCACTCCTCTCTTCGACGAGCAAGAGCACGCCCGAATGGTCCAAGCGTGGTTTCCGCGTAAAAGAAGACACGACAAGACGCAACGCAATGGATATGCTCCGATTAAAGGACGTAACCTGGGACCAAGTCGCTGCCGCTGTGCCAGGCATCGACTCCATTCCGGACCGTATCAAGTCTCGCATCCACATCGAGGCGACGTACGCACCATTCATCAAGCGACAGCTCGCCGAGCGCAAGGTCTTTGCCCGGGACGAAAGCCTGAGACTGCCCGATTCCATCGACTATGACAAGGTCCCGGGCCTGGCCATGGCCGAGAAGACGGTTCTCAAAGCCACCATGCCCGAGACTCTGGCGCAGGCGAGGCGGTTGGAGGGTATCACACCATCTGGGTGCCTCCGGTTGTTGGGCTACGTGCAACGCCAGCAGAAGACCATTGCCCTGGCCAACATGGAGAAGCCGTGGCGGGAAAAGCAGAGCCGGGAGAAGGGCATGCCGTGACGTAACGACTAGGTGTAATGATTATAGAGAGAAGAGCTCCCCGGCCGATGTAAAGATGGAGAAGGCCAGAAAAACGTGGCCTCCTAGCCTCAATGTTTGTACCAATACCATAGCTGCCAGCTGGGACCAAAGTTTCCTGCTCCCTCTGTGCGTGTACATTTAATTTTACAAAATTTTGCCCACCTTCCGTAACGCCCCTTTAATACATGTTTTGTTACGTACACTGATGCGCCACACCTGATGGATGAACTACATCTCGACTCCCCACGAGGCTACGGTTACGTAACTTGATCATTGGCGGTTGGATCTCAACAGATGACCAGAGCGAGCTTCAAGTGTCTGAGCAGTCACAAGCTCTGCGATGATGCGGAGAGTTGGCTGCCACTGATGAAAGGTAGAGAGCTCTGTCAAATCGATTATACCTTGGGAGGCGGAGTCTTGGGAGGCGGAGTCTTGGGCGGCGCAAGAATCTTGACCGCATCCTTGGTGTAAATGTAGCTTGCGCCGCTCCAAATAGTGGTAGTGGCAACGATATATCTAGCCACTAGTCAGCACTACAAAATCCTACAAATTCACCACGTCGCCTTCTCCTCTAGTCTCGTGAAGAGAAGTCGAACATCGGCAAAGGGGATAGGGGGTCAACATACTGCATGGCTGTCAAGGGTGTCGACAAGTCATAGCTGAACACCGGCGCGGCCGTCGTCAGGCCGATGAGGACGAGTTGGAGGAACGTGTTGTATTTGCTGATGGTCGTGGGGTGAACTTCGGCCGAAGGCAGGGAAAAGTCCCAGTACCGCGCAAAGGTCTTTGGCGGCGGGAGGGAGATCCAGCGGTAGTAGATGGCGGAGATGGCGAGGCCTACGTCGCGGCCTAGGATGATTGTTGCGAGCCACACTGCGAGGCACATAGAATTGTCAGTCTACGTTGTCTTCTCCAAAGCAGAGCGTCGGTGTGAGGCATTCAAAGCACTTTTTGCGCCACCCCCTTCCTTCCCATCACCTTATTCGGTCCCTAGGGGTGTGATCTCCGTCTGTCTACGGAGGTTGAGGGGAACCGAAGTCAGGAAAAGAGAAAAAAACCTACCCGGAAGAGACCCCTGGGCGGCGAGGCACACAGTAAGAATGGTCATCAACATCTTATCCGCCATCGGATCAATCACAGTCCCGACGACAGTCTGTTGCTTCCACCGCCTCGCGATCCACCCGTCCAGCAAATCCGTCACGCCGGCGTACGCGAACAGGCCCAAGGCCCAGGCATGTTGGTCGTGGAGAATAAAGTAGCCCACAAACGGCGCGGCCACGAGGCGCGAGAGCGTCAGCAGGTTCGGGAGGGTGCGGATGTCTTCGCGGAGAGTCGGTGGTAAACTGGGGAGCTTCGCGACGATCTTGCTCGTCGTGCTGCAGCAATCTCATACATCAGCCCATGCCTTGAAAGAGGAAAGACCTTTGGGAGGGCAAAAGGAAAACAAACCTGGGTGGTTTACCATCACTCTGCGAAACATAGGGAGCGACGAGCCGGGGTCGGGTTTGGCGCTGAGGTGGGTGGTTGAGAATGGCACTCGCACCAAGCTTCAACGTCGGGCGATGCCTTGCCGGTGACGGCAACGCATGGAGAAGACGATTGCTGCTGCTAGGACAGAAGCTGTTTTGCACGCGGCCGCATTGCGCCAGAGACAAAGCCCTGCGGCCACCGAGCCTAACGAGCAGCATATCTGTGTTCTGGAGCCCCGACGTAGACCGCAATTGAACTTCACTTCGAATTCGGTGCGATTGATTGGATGAATGACGATCGCGAGCTCACGTGCGAGTGGAAGACGACGGGAGCTACCCCCCTTTGCTGTCAGCGCAGAGCTCTTTCCTCAAAGCCTGGGTACCTAGGTACCAAGGTAAGGTACCTTTCGTTCTCGTCATTTGGTAAGCTTGGTTCATCATTGGCCCGTGTCCCAAAGCATGTCACATACTAGAAACCCCTGGCATTAGAATATTCTCTTTTACTGCATAGTGGAAGTTTTTTAGTTTAATTGTCCTTATTGAAGTGTAATGTAGCAAAGAGCTACTCTGTCTAAGTGATCACTCTCATCGAATGGAGCACTACAGACCACGCACACCCAAGGTAGGTAGTACCTAGACACACGATCATATCGCATGATGATTCGTTGTGTCGAGCACAACATGCGTGTCTGTAGACTGTAACTGCCTTACAGGTAAACTTTTCGGTATTCCCAAGAAACCCCTTTTCCCTGTTCAGTATACCCTCACATACTCCTGGTCGTAGGTTGCGCTCGGCTTTGCGCACCTCTGTTTTTCTTCTGAATCAAATAACCTCATCGCAAACCGCAACCTCGACGCCGCGCTACCCAAGCACCTTGGCGCCTGAGTTCAGAGTCTCCCTCTGTGATGCGAGGGATTTGGAAACCCTGCAACATTATCCACACTGTCGTTCAAGGGCAATCCTCTCTGGTGATCCGATCCAACCAACGTTGGGTCCTCCTTCTACGCCCAACAGCTTCGTGTTGGACACGTATGGCGACTTAGACGTGCACACATCTAATCCAACTTCTGTTCAGGTCCTTCCAAGCGTGTTGTTATTGCTACTCGGCCAGCCTGCACTTCCTTGCGGCATGTATTGGCCTTGGTCGTCGTCGCCTATCTGGTCAAACGTGTTCCAGGTATCGCGGTTGAGTCCCTCAATGGGGAAGCCCTGTCTGTCACCGCCCATTCCAGACTCGTTGTGTACGTGCCGGGGAGACGGCGAGGGAAAGGTCTCGTGAGGAGACATGTCGTGAGGGCGTTGGGAATACAACATTGAAGTCATGTAGTTGTTGCCTCCGCCCATTGACCTTGAAGGGTCGCCTGAGACAGCTGGCAAGCTGCTAGCAAGACCCATTTCGGGGCCCGTTACGGGCTCGTAAGCTGTTGAGTGTCGTCGAGGATGATGCTGGGACTCGAGTGCCATGTTTCGCGACATGTCGGGAGCCAAGCCAGCACTCGACGGATACCGGCCTGCACGGCTCAGGCTGTCATAAGCGTAATTTGGATGATGAGGCTGTGCATAGCCAACGTTGCCGACGGACCCAGGAACTGGATTCATGTACGACATGTACGGTGGATGGCCGAATTGCGTCGCAGGCATTCCGCTGATGTGTAGCGAAGGCACCGACATTGCTCGTGACAGGCTCTGGTGGTGGCCGTTGACTGGGTAGTGTTGGGCGAAAAGTCCATGGCCTCCTCGTGAGTCGTCCATCTCCACCTCGTCAATTGGGGCGCGGAAGTTTTGCGACATGATCAACTCCCCTCTGGGAATGATGGTGGAGAGCTGGTGGTCTTTTGAAGGGGCCATCAGCTTGCCTTCTGTGACGTCTTCAACGTTGTAGTACGACACAAGGTGGTGCGGCACGCCCTGGTAAGTAACGCTGATCGTCTTCTTCACCAGTCCATTTTCCTTGAAGGGGTATGAGTCGACCAGGGATCCGATCAGCGCGCGCTCGGCGTCCTTGTTGCCGCCTTGCGAATCTCCCATGCCCATAGTAGAGGCTGCTCCATTGACGCTGCCTTGGCGCGCAACCTCGGGCTTCGTCACGCCTGTGGGTTTCTTGTTACGTTTCATGGCGCGCTTCTTTTCGCCTGGTGGGAACGGCCGGTCGAGTTCGCGGTAGATGAGAAAGTTGCCGAGGATACGACTGGGACTCCAAGCAACTCCGTCAGTCCAGCGCTTGATGCCGGACGAGTGCTCCTCGTAGATGAAGACATTGCCGCTCTTGATGAGATCCTGGCGCTCGCGGTCGTGTGGTCTGCGGGGAACATGGTGAAGTGCACTGCTAAGACATGCTTCAAAGAGAACCAGAGCGTCGAGTGTGGAAGCGACGTGGCCGATAAAGGTAGGGTTTAATGGAACATTGGAATTCGCCATTTTGGCTTCCGGTTGCGCCGAGTCTAATCGTGTAAGTTACTTTGAACGTTGACAGGAGCGGCCGTAGAGTTGCGCCACTTACCAGCAGTATGTGTATGCGGCGGAAAGATATCGAGTAATGTGAAAGGTTCGGTCTTCCCGGGTGATGATGATGGTGACGAGGAGGAGGATGGAAGCTAGCCAGGCTAACTTGGCTGGAGATGGCTCGTGGGAACAGAGATGAAGCCGCGTAGTTGAACGTGATGTTGAAGGTAGGAAGCGCGAGGATGGATGCAGGACGTAGACAAAAGAAACGCCGATGGAAGGGGGAGGGAAGAAAGTCTTTCAACGGCGAGAAGAAGATTAAGACTTGTTAAAGCTAAATTTCCAAAGCGTTGTTCCGAAGAAAAGAAGAGGGAGGGGAACGTAATGGACAGGGTAAGGTAAGGCAAGGAAGGTACTACACGGTACGTGTGTGGAGCTCTGAATCTGCAGCAGCAAAGACGCGGGACTGTGGTTCGCCCTGCGTTTATCGTAGTATCCAAGTTGCGAGACTGTGTGCTACCGAACGCCTCCTTCTTCACCTCTTGGTCTTCTGGTTCAGCCAATGAGTACAGAAGCTGTGCTGGAAGACTCAAGGTAGCCGTCGCCTGATGCGTGAAGCTTGAGGTGACGGACAACGTATTGGTGGAAAGAGCTTGGGTGTGGGATGGCGCGACGGGCTCAACGCCTCGGATCGGAGAGAGAGTACAGTTTTGGACTGGGCCAAGCAGTAGACGAAGCTTGAGGGGGGAATGTGTACGGCCAGCAGCAGGCAACGGGATAGATGTTCGTATATGTCTACCTTATGGCTTGGTGGCTTGCGTGGGTCAGGAACCGTAGGTTGATGGTGAGATCCAGTGTTTTAAGGTTTGTCAAGCGCAGCACGGTTGAATGTTGGCGGCGTGTTAGCTGCGCGGTCTGGGTTTCCCTCTGTCCTGTCGGGGCGGCTTGCGGTGAACTGGTTGATGTCCAGGTTCCAGAACGATTACTGTGGTAAAGGTTCCAAGAAGAGAAGGAGTGATGGAGCTGAAGGTAGGTTGGGTGAGGACAACTAGCTGGAGAGAGCTTCTTGTCGCAAGGGAATGAGCGTGGGCGGTGGTTGATGTATGCGGCGTGATATGCTGTGCTATGCTGTGCTATGCTGTGCCGTGCTGTGTGGTGGGTGGAACGGACCCTGAGATCTTAGATGTCGGGAAGGGAGTAATCAGAAGGGAGGGCCTCGGAGGGTTTTGATTTCTTGAACCGAGCGGTTGGGCCTCGAACTCCTGGTATCCTGAGCTTCGGATGCTAGGGACTGCAGCAAGAAGTAGATGAAGTAGGCTGCAGACTGGATGTCGCCGAGGACTTATATGAATGTCGGTGCCCGACGGTAAAACTGGTAATTGCGCGTGAAGATCGGGACACTGGATGAAATAATATGTCCATGTACTCTTTTTTGCAGTGCAATCAGGGGAGGAGTGAGAGAGCGCGCGCGCGCCCAGGGCAGCCGAGAACAAGATGGAGGTGCCTCGAGCTCAGAGAACCAGGATAGTACAGACAGGCCTGGGTTAAGACAATAGACAGGGCAGATCGGACCCAGGGCTCAAGGCGGGATGCCGACGTAGGGCCAGGCAAGGTGCCGCGGTCGAGGAGATCAGGAAGCTGTTTGAAGCCGAGCAAGGGTAGCAGATGAAGCTCTACCATGTACGTCGAGAGCCAAGAAAGACAAGGCGGACGGGGCAGAGGGCAGAGCGGCGGTGGCGGTAGCGGCAGCACAGGATGTAGAGGTGGTGGAAGTGGAGGTGGAAGGCGACAGGCATTCGCGAGAGAGAGAGAGAGAGAGAGAGAGAGAGAGAGAGAGAGAGAGAGAGAGATCAGTCGCATCAACAAGAGGTACCGGTAGAGAGAACACAGGTGCGGGAGCCAGAGCCCAGAAACAGAGCCAAAGAGTCAGTCCCTTTCCCTCCAAAAGCAGAGCCGGTGGGTGTGGAGGCAGGACAAGGCGGAGGAGAAGACGGCGGCGGCGGCGGCGGCGGTGGGACTTGGACTGGGACTGGGACTACTACTGGTAACTGTGTACCTATCCGTAGAGGACGCAAAGACACACAACCCAGCTCGCAGGATACAGGGGTGCCAAGCTAAGAAGGGTTATGGGGTGTGAAGAAGAAAACGAGAGAGAGAGAGAGAGGTGGGGTACAAGAGGAGTGTGGATTAGAGGCAGGGGGGAGGGCGTGTGGGAGAGACGGGGAGGAAGAGGGAGGGAGTGCGATGTAAGAGGGGAGAGGAGAGAGGAAGGGAAGAGAAGGAGAGAGAGAGAAACAACAATGCAGCGGGAGGAGTGCCCTTGGGTATGCGTATGAGAAAGACGACTGTGGGCAATGGAAAGATGCGGGCAGAAAAAAGAGAAAGACAACGACAGAGAGAGATTTTGGTGTGTGAGTGCGTGTGTGTATCCTACGTATGTGTGTGTGTGTGTGTGTGTGTGTGTACAAAGTACATACATACATGCTTGGGTGGGTGGAGGTGGGTGTAGGTGGGTGATGATGGTGGACCTGGAGAGAAAAAAGGACGTGCCAGATGCTGGGGGAAACGCTCGGCGATCAGAAAAGCAGAAGGGAAATACCTCGACCAAGTTCAGCGCGGACCAAGTCGGCAGGGCAGGCAAAGACAGGGTAGGTATCGTATCCGAACAAGACTAGAGAGAGACAGCGAGAGAAAGAGAGAGAGAGACAGAAAGAAAGAGGGGCCAGACATACTACACTCGCAGTAGGTACAACGGCGAGTCTGCGAGTACCATCATCCGTACCGTACCTGCGCCAATGCCAATACCAATTAATGCCAGCGCCATGGATGGTGTGGAAGTCACAAGTGTGTGCAAGAGCAAGGACCTTTTCCTGCTCTTCCTGCTGTTGCTCGGTGCTCACTACCTTTGGTACCCCCCCCCCCCCCCCCCCCTCTGTTACCTACTTCTCATAGAATACCAACCTACGGATACCTACCTACCTTAATGCAGCACAGCCTTGAGATGGGCACTTGTCAAGACCAATGGGTGGGTTGATTGATGATGGATGAACAAAGTGGCCGACATAGATGGCACCTGGACTCGACTCGACTCGACTCGAGTCGAGTGAGTCGAATGGACCAAGATTGCCAAGACCTGCTGCGCTTCTCTCTACTGTACTTGTGTGGACTTGTTCCCTATTGCTGTGGCTCAGGCTCTTTCTGCCTCCTTCTTAGTCTGCCTCCCATTCTACAACACCCTGTGATGTTATCTCATCCATGGCCAGCTCTGGCTTGTCATCTGTGCCGATGTTGGTATTGCCATCCGTAGATGCTTGGCATGGATTGCCCATTCTGCTGTAAGTCGGCACTACCACGGCACATTATACCGAAGAAGCAAAGACTGGCATATGGCGTGTGCAAGGCAATGCGCAGAAGTCAGATGCTGGTCAGATGCGGCTGCTTCTGTTGTCGTCCTCTTTCTCTCCCTTCTCCTCCTCCTCGCAGTGATGTTGTTGGTGTGGGAGGCATGGATGGTCAAGGTTGGGCCAGGGAAAGAATCCGACAAGGTTAAGCTCAAATGCCTCAAGGCAAGCCTCTCACACAAGCACCAAGAGGGGGGGTAAAGAGAGAGCTTGGGCAAGGCAAGGCAAGGCAAGGCAAGGCAAGGCGACGGGATCGAACGACAACTGCTGGCCGGTGCTTGATGCTTGATTCGGGATGCTGGCCATAGTTTGCCTGATTTGCCTTTTGGCTTTCGATGCCAACCGTTTGGCGGGTCGGCGAGAGTGAGTCTTTCTCTCGTATTTTTCTGCTTGCCCTCTATTGCCGTACCCCAAAGCATTGTTCGAGGTCACTTACGTTAGCTTTCAACCGAGGAGAGATATCGATGCCGAATCCATCACCATCTACAGCAAGCCAACATTGAGCATCATTGCAATAGTGGCAAGAATTGTGAGAACCGAGACGGGCAAAGGCAGTTGCCGCTTGGTATGAGCAATGGCAAAGATACATGAGGGCAGATAAAACATGCAATAAACTTGATGTTGCGGGATCTGGGTAAGAGGGGAAATAGTGGCGCTGCGGCAGGTGGTCCGGCGTCATGGCAGAGTGCAGAGTAACGGGTGTGCAATTGTTGCAGATATTGGGCACCTAGCATACCTACCCACCTCTTCCTGGCAGCGGGGAGCTGCCAGACGGCAAGGAAGGGGAGTGTGAGCCTATGTGTACGTCTATGTGTTTGGAGCCTCTTCCTCTTCGATAGTCAAAGGACCTCTTGAAGGCCTTGCGAAGCCATGCGGTGTTGAGCATCTGCAAGTTGAGGGGAACAGTACACCACCGAGCACTCAATGTCCGCGAGGTATCAGCGTCAAGTTCGTGCTCGGGTTGAATCATCAAAGTCGGGGAGAAAAGTGGTCGACAGGCACGAGGACAAGGACAGAGACGGCAAAGAACGGTTGGACTAAAGGGAGAGAAGGGGATGGATAGGCAGGAAAGGTAACTGTAAGCTGGATAGGATAAGGTCGGATGGAAGGGATGGGATGGGATAGGCGTTAAACGGTCGAGTGTGAAAAAAGGAAAAGGGGAGAAGGAGGGGGGGGGGGGGACGATAGAGATGAAGATGGAAGAGGCAAAAGGCGGCGATGGGGGTGGAGGATGGGCACGGCCAAAGGTATGAGGAAGAGGTAAGAGACGTGCCGGCGGCGGCAACATCAACAACCACCCTCAAGTGTTGAAACGGGAAAGACTGAGGCGCAGGTGATGCAGTACCTGAAATTGGCAGTTACTGGTTGCGATTGTCGTTGAAAGAAGCTTGATGCTCTCCTCCTCTCTCCTTCTCACTTTGAGAATCTTCAAGAAGTATGGAAGTTGCGAGAGGTGATGAAGAGACCTCTTCGGGACGGGGTACATGCCCCACCAAGACGTTTCTGTCAGAAGTAGGTAAGGTACGTATCGTCGACAGTAAACGCTCTTTCTTGTGCTTGTCTTCTAGTGCTCCCTTACAGTTCCCGGCCCCTTCCAAGTTCCCACTCTTTACGGATACATTGATTGACCTTGCCTTGACTGGAGAACAAGACGTCTGGGCCAAGTCCAGCTAACCAACTCAAGGGAGAGACGAGAGCATGCACGTGCCTGCTAGTGCTGCCTCAGCAGACTGCTTCTCTCCTTCTGCTCCATGCCTCACAAATCCTGCCTTGCCATGGAGGACTGTATACGGTAAATTACAATGTGGGAAGAGGCATGAACCATCCGCTAAAGCACGGCGTCCGACATGCCATCGCTTGTGACATCCATCCCTTACAACACAAAAGGACACTCGACACTCTGATACCGCAACGTTCGACGGCTACCCAACGGCTGGCCCTTGCACCATGCCTTGGCTGCCCGACCTTATGCTACACACTGGATGGAACCTCCTATGACACGCCAGCCAAGAAGAGAGCACGGTCGAGCTGGTATAGAAGGCGGCAGCGGTGGGGGGCCGTGGCAAGATGAACAGAAGGTTACGGGAAGGGAAAGGCAGCGCAGGGAGAGCACAGGCGGCGGGCTCGGGAGCCAAATGTTGAAGAAAACAAGGAGGGAAACAGAAGAAAACAAGCCCGCCCGTCCAATGCCAAGGTACCTTGTCATGCTTTGCCAGTACCAAGCAGAGGGCGTGCAGCCTGAGAGCCTAAACTTTGAGACAAGGAACATGTCTGCGCTGAACACGTAGATTTGCTGTTACTACGCGCACACAGGCCACCAGACGCGCCAGAATCCACGAATGACCCAAAAATACACCAAATTCGGCGTGACTGTCATCAACAACAGCGTTCGCAAGGTGACATAAAGATATCACAAAAGGAAATGTGCGTATTGATGCACAGGAGACAGAAATCAGAGACTGCCATGTACCCGTAGATGGTAAGCAGATTCGGCTTCCGCGATGAAAATTTGGAGAAGAATGTAGAGTAAAATCAAAAGACAAGGGGATTGAGCGGGCCGCTAAATTTCATCTCGACGCATCCATGGCGACAATCAGCCTCTCAGCTACCTGGTTCCCTACCTGCCCGTTGGTAAACCTCGCCCGTTGAGAATTATCTCATTTCTTGCAAGGCGAGGCTAGGCCAGGCCCAGGTGAAGCAAAAGAGCCATCGTACGGCGATATGCGAGGCTGATCGATGCCTTCCCCGAGTAAGGTAGGGCTATCAACGCAATTGCCGCGTCAGTCAAGCCACTGTCGTGCCCCAAAACGCTCGGGTATGGATGGTATTGATGACGCTAACAAAAGAGAAAGCGAGAGGGGAAGAAGAAGAAGAAGAAGAAGAAGGGAAACAGGGAAACAGGGAATGCGTAAGGACCACTGGACAATACGTAAGATGAGGCATCATCAACCATCGAGACGAACTTCTCTAGACGAGGCGAGCAGCATCGAAAAAGCTTTGGCTCAATACAGCCTAGGTGTTCTTGCATAGTAGCAGTACACAGTGGATGGGTGTGAAGAGTGATCCCGGTTGCGAGGATGCATTTCATCTGTAGAACCATTCCACGTTGTCCCAACGCTACCTTGACTTGGAGAGGAGCATCGAGGCCACAAGGGGTACGTATGTATCCGTACGTGCGCGCGTACGGATGCCAACTTGGTCTTTCGTAATCGAGGACTGCCCTCGCCAACCACGTCTATATCGGCAGACGGGCTCTTCTACCCCAATTCCGAAGCGCGCCAGGGACAAAGCCGAAAGACAACGCCGGGCGATGCAGAGTTAGCTCCCATCTAGAGAATCCCTCATGTCCTGGTTTCGTCCCGCAGTCTCTGGTGTTTGTCCCGACTGCGCCGGACTGAGACAGGACGGGGCTAGGCCAATGGATACCCCCAGCTTCAGTCCATACTCCATCCGGTGCTTGGGTAGTGTGCGGATGGATCGTCGTGTCCTCGAGGTACTGCTATGTAAGGTACTCCGTCAACTTGTTGTCGTAACTCATTAATTACACGTCGGATGCTAGTAGAAGAAGCATGATGTGGTGGTGTGCGGTAGGTACAATCAAGGATTGGCTCAAGCACTCTCTCAGTCTCTGGAGAGTCAAGCTTCCTCGCCGTCATTGACCAATGCACCTTTCCCCCTTTGCCAATGACCGTCTGTGCCTGCTGCTCGTGGGATAGGATTTATTTTTGACGGTGCAAATTTGCCTACCGTCCTGTTACTTCTTTGGTCCCTTGCCCGGCCTTGCCCTCCCTCGCCCGCTTCCCGCGTGGCATGCTAAATTGACTACAGCTTTGCCTTTGGTCGATGTCACTCTAATAGATTGTTATCAAGAAAACTCTACCCACGACCCAGTGGCTGGTGTAAGCTCGAATGCTTGCTGCTTCCCGCCCAGCGCGGCTCTAAAGTCGCGCCTTGTGCTTAATTAGAAACGGAACAAACCCCACGTAATTTCTCAACCGCACAGCGCATAAGAGCGTCTGGCAACAGAAATGTGTTTGGGATCTCTAGTTGATGCCGATAATAGCACTTGTGTCGCTGTCGAATCTCGTCGGCACGGTGCCGGAACCATTAGGGCACATATCCTAGCACTTACGCCGTTGGGAGACAGACAGCCGATACGTACTCTAGAGCCAGAGCCAGGAA